TGGACACCCAAGTTGGGTATTTGGCTTCTTTGATGAATTTGTTATCAATGAGCTTGTTGACTTCTTCCTCTAAGGCCTGTTGTTGGTCTGGACCGAGTTTCCTTCTTTTCTGGATGACGGGTTTGATAGTGTGATCGATGTTGAGTCGATGACAGGCTACCTTCGGGTCTATTCCTTTCATATCTTCGTGCCTCCAGGCAAAGACGTCGGCATTGGATTTCAGAAACGAGATGAGTTTGGTTCGAATAGGTTCTTGGAGGTTGGCTCCAATACGAAGTTGCTTGTCACATATGGGTTCATCAACATAAATGACTTCTATTTCTTCAGATGGTTCGGCTCTTTTTTCTGGCTTCTTCTCCTTAAATTGACTTCTCGGATCTAGTTCGTCTTCTTCCACAACTGGTTCTTTTCCGGGTCTCCTTCCTCTATCTCGGGTAAGATCATCTCCAACAAGCTCGTCTAAATTGGAAGAATTCGAAGTCGGAACCGTTGGTGTCGGCTGAACTTTTGACAGAGTTGTGATAATTCCAGAAGGGTTTGAAGTCGGAACCACCGATGTCGGTTGAACATCCGATAGAGTTGTAACAATTCTGGGATCGGTGTTTTGAACGTCTTCAGGAATCGAACTTCGCGGAACTCGGGCACAGTCGATCATCTCTTCTTCTTCCTCGACGTGCATTTCCAAGTTATGGATTTCTCGAGAAGGGATTGCTAAGATTAGCTCACGAGTTCCTAATTGATCGCCGTAATGAGTCCCCTCACCATCGGCGGTTGGAAACTTGATTGCATAATGAAAAATGGACACTGCTGCTCGCAATTTGTATAGGGCTGTCCTTCCAATGATGGCATTATATTCGTTGTTGATGTCCATGATTTTGAAATTTTCTATGATAACTTTGGAAGTTTGCCCATGTCCAAACCTGATGGGGAGAGTGATTTCTCCCAACGGGAGAGATACGCTCCCGTTGAATCCGTGTATCTTATCGTTGCATGGACGGACGTCGGCTGAATCAAGTCCAAGCTTCCTAAAGGCTTGAAGCATAATGATACTTGAATATGCGCCGGTATCCACCATTATACGATGAACTGGAATTCCGCAAATTGGGGCGGTTATGATTAGCGCATCGGAATGAGGGTGATCAAACAAGCTTGCATCTTCTAATGTGAAAGTGATCGGGCACGTGCGCGAGTTAATTGTTTCCCTCAGGTCGGTAGTCATTACTTGTTTCCCCGAGTTGTACGCCCTTCTAGCATATGCTTTGGCCTGCCGACATGAGGACGTCAATTCTTCTCGGTTAGTGTTAATTCGGGGAACGGAGCCTAACCGAATTGGGATTTGAGGAATGTGGTCGGCATTGGGACTCTCGAATTCCCTATTTCTCTTTCCAAGTCGGTCGATGACCGACTTGGAGTCTTCTGACCCAAACATGAATATTTCCTTTTCCCCTTGTTGTAGACGAATTCTTTTTGAGTTCAGTGCTTCTTCGTCCTCTTCATCTCGGTCAGGAATATGAGTTATTTGCCGCCTTTCTTTTCCTTCATGTTTGGTAAATTTCCTCACTTGTGGATTTCCAATCAACTTCTGGAGAGCTGACAACAGACTTAGACATTCGTCGGTGTTGTGACCTGGGGATCGATGATAATCACAATACCGCGATTTGTCCAACTGACATTCGGGAGTCTTCACTGGTCGGGCTTCAGGAATAATTCCTTTTCCTTTAATTTCTTGATAAACCGTTGCTGCACCAACCGAATAAATTGATCGATATCCAGTGGTCAAATCCTCCTTGTATTGTTTCCTAGCGGCCTTCACGTCGGTATCGTTAGGTTCGCTTTTGTATGGCTCTCGAAAGGACAGGTTTTTTGACATATTACCGAGATGCTTCTTTTTCTTGTTTTCAAAGGTCGGTTTCTGTCCTTTTGACGGAGTGAATTCAAAGTTGGGACCCGACATGGACTCCTCTGCAATAACATGTTGTTGAGCTCGAATAAGGAATTCTTGAAAAGTGCTCGGTTTGTTCTGACATAACGCCCAACGAAACATGGATCTTGGTCTTAATCCTGATATTGCTGAGACAAGGAGAGTCTCAGGGTGACAAGGTTCCATGTTTTGCACGCGTTCATTAAAACGCGCAATGTAATCTTTCAGACTTTCATCCTCCTTCTGGACTATGTTTGTAATTGACTCCTTAGGTATTAAGCTAATCTGGGCCCCGATGAAATGGGACCTGAAAGCTGATCTGAGTTGGCCCCAATATCGGATCGATTCGGCCGGTAGTGAATAGTACCACTTCTGAGCTTTAGGACCTAAGGTCAGGGAAAACATACGACATCGTAGAGCGTCATCAGCACCATGCAAGTCCATCCATGACGTATAATGTCCGAGATGAGCGTCAGGATCAGCGTTTCCGTCATAGAGGCCAATTTGGGGAACTTTGACTTTTCCCGGCAACGGACCCCTGGTCAACTCGGGTGCCAGAGGAGAATCGACTTCCATATAGACATGGTCCGGTTCTGGCACGTGAGGATGCTGATAAGGCCTGATTTGAGTGGTTTGTCGGGCTTCCAACTCTGCCACCTTCCTTCTTAACGCCTCGACCTCGGAAACATTATGTCGAGCGCAATGATTACGTTCAATTTGCGTTCTCAGGTCAATTGGATTTTCGGCTTGTTGAAACAACGAACGAACTGCATGAGGAATTCTGGGGGCATGCCGGGGATGACTTTCAGCAACCATCTCCGGTTGATTCATTTCAAGCTGGTTCATCTCTGCCGGCAGTACGTTGTTCGCTGGTGGTACGTTGTTCGCCGGTGGAGGGGGTAGATTGTTGTCGCGTGGTTGTGAAGTGGCGTGTGACGCCGCTTGATTGTTGTTATTCCTTTGTATAAGAGGACCTTGCTGTCTCGCCGGAGTTATAGGAGCAAAAGGTTGTCCCGGTATCCTTTGTGATGGTCCAGGCATGGTTTGGGCCAGCAAAGCAGTGAGTCCTCGAGCAAATTCTGGGTTCTGCATGAGCATGGCGATGTCCGGCATCCCAGGTACTGGATTATGTTGTCCGGTTGGCGGTTCGACAGCACGAACGACGCTTCCCATGGTTGTTGGGTTATCTTGTCCGGACTGCGACATTCTTGATTTTTGAGATGTGGTGTGTATATTTCGAAAATTAACTCCAAATATCTTATGGAGCCCTCCTTCTAGCGCCAAAATGTTGATAAACGGATTTAATCAACGTAATGAAAGTAAAAATCACAATAAAAATTGAAGAAAATGAGATTTCGATTGAAATTCTTGAAGTCGGTTACAGAATCGGGAAGTCGGTTCTTTAATGTTCAACAAGTCGGTAAACAAAGAAGAAACCGAGTTCAATATATGTGTTTTTATCAGATTTGCCGAATCCTTCTATAGTTCTCAATGTTGCTATTTATAGTTATGTTTGCACACCTCCCAAAGCAAATCAGCTTCGTTTTAATGGAGATTTGACAGTTTAGGGGCGACGATGACGTAGACGAACTTTTTAGGCAATGATGAGTATGGGCGCGCCTCTATCTGTGTGACAAGCGTCACATCTGTCGGATCGAAGTCGGTACGTTTTGTAACGTCGGTATTTTGATAAACATTCAGTCTTCTACGACTTCCTGATAAGTTGTTCTTTCAACCGAGATGGTCTTTTCAAGGTTCAAACGACTTGTGCTGACGACCTTTGGAGATTTGCTGTATTATTCACAGCATCATATAAGAACGTCGTGTAAGTACCGAGATGATATTTCCGAGGTGCCGTATATTCTGTTTTACATCGCCCAAGATCCAATCCGTGATTTAGACTTCACGATTCTTTTAATCTAACCATTATTTCAAGATAATCTATCCTGATATCAACAATGTTACCATAAGAAATCCCAAAGATTATCGACAATATAGAGTGTGTAAATAACTATGAAGTGTTACAAAAAAAACTGATATTTTAAAATATTTGTTATCAAAATCTGAGATTTGTCATAAGAATCAGATCAAATTTGTTAACAAAATCCGAGATTTGTTATCAAAATAAGATCAAATTTGTTACCAAGATCCGAGACTTATTATCAAAATCCAAACAAACTTGTTACCAAAATTCGATTAAATTGGTTCACATGTGGGGCCCATTGAAAATGCTTATATTAGTAAGTCAACAATTAATTATTTATTTTGAAAATTATGTGTCATATCAATGTGACATAATGTTTACCAAAATTAATGGAGTTTGTTAAAATTTAATTTGGTAAGACTTTTTGGATTGATTGAAAAATAATATTTTTATTTTGACATGTATCATTTATCAAATCTCGAGATTTTTTCTGCAATATTTAACTCCAAACAATCCGAAAAAAATTATGAAATTTGTTACCAAATGAAATCCCAAAGATCAGAGGCTCGGTTTTCTAGCACTTTTTTGAATGAAAAAATGAAATATAGCCATCTTTTGTAAAAGAATGAAATATAGCCAATTTAGGTGTTAAAAATACAATTCTACCCTTATTAATGTTTTACCTACTAAAAAAAAAGAAAAAAGGGAAAAAGAGTCTTCACTGCCATCGTCCCATTCAGTCCATCTCTCCTCCATTGTTCACCGTGCATCCTCTGTACACAAAAAA